ACAGATATCAACATTTGGAATATAGAAGGGGTTAATTACACTTCAAACTTTACCTCATACTGAAAAATTTAGCTGAATACTCTGTAAAATTTTATGTAAACTGACAGTTGAAATTACTTGAAGATATCATAATACTAGGATGAAGTTAACCATGTTTTAAATAAGTCAATTTCATAAAATGAACACTGAAAATAAGAAGTCTACGTTCTACTTATTAAGTCAGGCATGCATGGAGTATTTGAGCAAATATCACAGCAAGATCCATAAAGTCATATTAGCTTAATTATTCTTCTGCCTTATCTCCTTAACCTTTTCTTTCTGTGCTGTTGCTGTAATGGTTAATCTTAATTGATCACTGATTGGGAACTGAGAATATTAAGGTTATTTTGACTACAGCCTAAGAATAGATTCTAACATTACTAGATGGGAAGTGTCAGAGAAGCACTTTAATTATGGTGTTCATGAAGGTTAACTAAGTGTTTAAATATCAGAGTGTTCATCCCTGCCTTCCACAAAGGAAAAGCAGCTTGCACTTTCCAGCTAAAGAAACTATTGAACTTGGCTTAGCCAAATTAATATTAATAAAGATAAGAAAATGTGTGACCAAAGTCTCTTCCTTGTGTGAAAGCATCATCTGATATTTCCCTTTAAAATGTGACACATCGGCTTTAACAGGAGACCATCACTAATGAGACAGCAGGAAAAGTGCCATACAAAGAAGATAGGAAAAGAGCATCCATTTCTTTTCTTGAGGAGAATAAGAACCACCAGGTCTTCTCAAAACTGCATGTTAAAAAGCGTGTGAAAAGCATAACAAAGGAGTCAAGTGTATGGACAAAGACGATATATTTCATGATGTTGTAATTTATGATATTCTCATTAAACAAGTCTATATGTTATTATTCCAATTTATAATGAAATAAAAAATTTAAAGTTTGAGTGGAATTTGAATTTTGAAGTAATTTTGAGTCAAAGCCACCTACCTTTGAAAAAGTTAGCATTCTTTGAAACTCCAGATGACGTTTGCTTTCTAACTTGATAATTCTCAACTCGAATGGACCATTCATGTAGCAGAGCTAGAAAAACAAGCAGACAGAACACATGAATGTCTCACTACTTGTAAATAGATGTTTATTTGTGAATTTTTTCTATTTAATTGAAAGTTGACAAGATGATTTGGAGGATTTCTGTACACAGGATGGCCAATTTACTCCATTATTTATATATTATAATTGTGCACTGGTGGTAGCTTCTGACACATTACAATGGGTAGACCCTAAGGAATAAATATTGCTTCAGTTTCACTTTTTTCTTCCAATGTCATTTTAAATTTATTATTGTATTTTTGAGACTCTCATGCATGAGCTCTTTATTTACATCTTTTCTTCTCTGCTAACTCTTCACACTTGCCACCACTCCCTCTCAATTTTGTGACTTCTTATTATTGTTGTTACATATATATTCATGTCTTAAATATATATATATGTGTTTTATATTTACACATATATCTATATATATAACAAATATGTAATATACCTTACTGAGTCCATATAGTTATGTTCATATGCATATATGTTTAGGACTGACCACTTGGGTTTGATCACTTCTCAGTACTGTAGTTGCCTTATGAGAATGTGTCTTTTTTGCCAATTTTCATCTACTGAAATAATGAAATATTAAGGAAGTACTGGTTACATATTAAGAAAAATAGATTTTATTCTGTTTATAAATTCTACTACTGTGGTCATGTTTATATTCTTTTTATTTATTATTTATTATTATTATTGTTATTATTATGTTTGGGTCTTTTTGTTGTTGTTGTTTACAGGGTTATCCTGTAGTCCAAGCTGGCCCGCAAATTGATATGTAGACCAGACTGTCAATCTCATAGAGATCTGCCTCCCTCTGCCTCAAGAGTGCTGAAATTCAAGGTGTGTACACCATGCCTCATGCATTCCTTTTATTTTTAAAGATTTAATTAACTCACCCAATTTCATGTCTGCTTTTCTGTTCTATATGTTATATATGTCCCTATTCTAGTTTGTTTCACCATTGTGGTGACAAAATATACTGAAAAATACCAACTTGGGAAGGAAAAGTTTTGTTCAGCTTACATCTCCAAGGCCACAGTTCACTGTGGAGGGACCCCGAGGTAGGAACTCAAGGCAGGAACCTGGAGGCAGGAGCTGAAGTACAGACCACGGAGGAACAATACTTACTGGCTTGCTTCTCTGGCTTTCCCTGTTTTCTTATACAACATATGCCCACCTGCCCAGGAGTGGCACCACCAACAATGGACTGGGCCCTCCCACATCACTTAATAATCAAGAAGGCATGCCACAGAATTGGCCACAGGCCAGTTCAATGAAGGAAATTCCCCAACTGAGGCTCCCTTAATCCAGGTGTGTCAAGTCAACATTAAAATTATAGAGCACAATTGACCCCTTGTCAACTTAACACATAAACACATCACTATTAAACCATAACCTTTCCATTTCTCGTTCCCAAGACACAATGCAAACATTAATGTTACAACATAAGACAGTACAACCTTAAAAGCCCCACAGTTCTTAAGAAACCATAACACTTAAAAGATTGGTCTCTTGGCCAGGCCTGGTGGTTCATGCCTTTAATCCCAGCACTTGGGAGGCAGAGGCAGGCAGATCTTTGTGAATTCAAGGCCAGCCTGTTCTACATAGTGAGTTCCAGTACAGCTGGGGCTACAGGGAGACCCTGTCTCAAAAGACCAAAAAAAGAAAAATATACTAAAAAAGTTTTGGTCTCTTTTAAAAGTCTCTTAACTGTGGGCTTCTGTAAAATTCAAAACAAGTACTGTCTTATTTCAAAGGGAAACTCCTAAGTAAAACCTAAGTCCAGCAAAATAGCTCAAGACTGGATATCTGGAATTCATTCATGATCTTCTGGGCTCAAAAGTGTTCTGGTAGCTCCACATCTCTGACTCTGCTGTCCACAGCACACACAGCTTGTCTTGCAGGCCCAGCCCAGCTCCATTCCACAACTGATGCTGCCCTTCGTGATCATCCCATGGTCTCAGCATCTCCAAAACACTGGGGTCTCTGCTGAAACTGAGGTTGCACCCTCACCAATGGCCTCTTCTGGGCTCTCAGACTGCAATGCCTCAGATTCTTTCCATGAGCTCTTCAATCCTGAGCTCTTCACTGGAACTGAAGATGTGCTTTCACCAATGGCATTTCCTGGTGTCTCAGAGTGCCAAGCCTCAGCTGCTATCTGTGACCCCTTCAAACTTTCAATGCCAGAACCATGCAGGAGACTTATACATATTACCAAGTCCTGCTTCCAGCTTAAAATGGAGGCTCAGGTCCCCTCTGTGCACTGACCTTGAGGAAATGCCTCCTAGAATATTTCAGCACAGTGATGCTGATTTCTTGTTACTTACAGTTGATTTTTCAGCCCCAGTTAACCAGCATCAATTGTCCCAGTAAAGAAAAGGTTTTACTTCAGGTTCTTTTCTCTTCTTATCACAGCTGATTCTTCAACCCCAGGTGACCAGAACCCACAGATTCTTAATTCAAAATATCACACAAACAGCTGGGATAGTCTCTTCTTCCTTTTGAAGCTTTATAAGCCTTTAAGACCCCATTGCCTACAACTCTTTCAGCATAACTGTTCCAAGCTCCACACCAACAAACTCTGAGCATCAGTGACTTTCCCAGCCCAAAGTTCCAAATACTTTCACAATCCTTCTAAAACCACCAACATCAGGTCTGTCTCAGGAATACCCCACTCCTGGTACCAATTTCTGCTCTATTTTGTTTCTCTATTGTAGTGACAAAATACACTGACTAATAACAACTTGGGGAAGAAAAGGTTTATTTGTCTTATATCTACTGGATCACAGTTCATCAAGGAGTCCAAGGTAGGAGCTCAAGGCAGGAACCTGGAGGCAGGAGCTGAAGCATAGGCCATGGAGGAATGCTACTTACTGACTTGCTTCCCTGGTTCCTGCTCAACCTATTCTCTTATACAACATAGGCCCACCTTCCCAGGGGTGGAAAACACCCAGAGTGGGCTGGTCCCTCCCACATCACTCAGTAATCAAGAAGGTGCCTCATAGACATGGCCACAAGGCAGTCCAATGGAGTCAGTTCCCCAATTGAGGCTCCCTCAACTCAGGTGTGTCAAGTTGACACTAAAGGTATCCAACACAGTCCCATTTAGTGTTGAGTACTCTTATTCTCTGTAAGCTGATCAGTTGTAAGTCTCTGTGTTAATCATTATCAGATGCCAAAAGTCTCTCTGCTGAGGTATTGAGGGACAAGAGATGTATTAATATATGGGAAAAACAATAGATCACTAGGAATAGCATTAATACTACGCACATTTAGCAGCATAATAGTATTAACCTCTGTTAGGAAAACCAAAGGTTCTGGCCTCAATAACTGTTCTAGGTATGGGTAACATCTGTGGACTGGACCTTAAGTCCATTAAGAAAATTGTTGGTTAGATCCATAATATTTATGACAATAGAGCATCACTAGGTATATCTTATGAGGCCAGGCCTTATTGTACCTCATAGGGCTCACAGCTGAGTAATACTGAAGACTTCTCACCTCTGGTAGCATGCATAGCATTTTCCAGTGCTATGAAAGCAAACCAGTGGTGATAAAGCTTCCAGATCAGTCCAGATCATTACCAGCTTGATTTCTCCATATTATTTGATTTAAATAATACGGTGTCATCAATGAGGTCTTACCATCAAGTTCTGGAAGAAAAGCAAGAGTAATAACAGTAGTCAGTAATTTGGGGGAGGGGGGCAGTTAAGGCATTCCACTAGCCAACAATTCCAAAGAAGTGACCCACATCTGGCATTGGGCTGGCTTTTTTATTTGCTATCCCACGGTGTCTGTTGGGGAGATTGTTCCCCTATTATAAGGCAACACCATTTCTCCATTTAACCCATCCCATCCCATTTCTCTCTCCATATACACACATATATATGAAAGCTTTTATAGTACTAACTTTCCATATGACTTTCCAAATGACATTTAGTGTAATTATCCCTCCTCATACCCCCTTCTCTACCTGTGCTTCCATTATTCAATTATACCATTTTTTATTTAACTTTATTTGAGAAATTAACTTTAATAACTTCACAGACAATATATGCACAGGTTTACCCTTCTAACTACATTATGATGAGAATATTTACTGATTTTTACCATTTTTTGACATAAAATTGAAGAGGGAACACAGAAAAATCTGCTTCAGTGTTAATCTATATGTGAGAATTTCATTCCAAAAATAAAAACAACTAATTCTATCATTTGTTTTTGAGCAATTGATAATGATTTGCACAACAAATTATTTACGAGTATAGGTAAAATGAGACGCAAATTTATAAGAAATTTAATCCATTCTACATGGTTAAATTACATCAGAAATTTGGTTTAATACATTGAAATTGTATTATTTTTCCTATGGTCCTGGCAAATAATTAACACAAATGTAGTGGCTTAAGGCTGCAGACATGTATTCTTGCGGTTTGGGAAGCAAGAAGTCTCAAATGTGGGACTAGGGATGTGGTGTGATGTTTAACTAGCATATTCCAAGCCCACAGTTAGAGCCTCAGGACCACCAAAACAAATAAATTAAAGGGAAATAAACAAGCAAATTATATGTTAAATAGCCAAACAAATGTGTATGGTGGCTCATGTATGTAACCTTGGTACAGTACTAGGTAAGCTAAGTTTGAGACCAGCCTGTGCTTACTACATCATGAGATGCTTTCTTCAACCATTTAATAAATTATATAGTTAACTTCAAAAGCCTAAAATCAGTCTGACTTGGCAGAAATCAGGAGATGAGTTAGGGAGCTATGCCACCTTCAGAGGATCTACAGAATTCACACTTGCTGGGTCCCTCTCTAAACACTGTTCACACGCCTTCTCCTTGACTGCATCATTTATTGACAAAAGACAGGATATTCAAATTTCTCTCTCCTCCTTAAATATTAGCTTCTCCTTTGTGTCAAATCTCTTTCCACTTTTCACTTATAAAGATATGTATGATTCTATTTTGAACCTACCTAGATAAT